ACACCAATGGCACCAGCTGAGGAGGGCCGGATGCCTGCAGATCTGCGCCGTTAAGCAAGGGAGAGTGGCCAGAAAGCCTCTGCAGCCGCTTGGAATAATCCAGGGGAGAGGAGAGCCTGCCTGGAAACCCAAAAGCAAGGCCCTGTCGATAAGCGCTCTCCGCGGCGATCCGCTAGTAAGGACAGGCTGCGTGGCAATGGCCAGAGGCTTAGGAGAAAAGCGCGCCAAAATTAAATCCAAAATAGCGGCTGCAACACGTGCGCTCGCCTGGAGCGATACCGGGGGAATCCTCAAGAGCCTAACACTCTGCGCTGGGGACTTTGACTACCTACTTGTTCCCTGGGCTCGTCAACAGCCGCCAACGAGCCCCCCACGGTCAAACACAAGCCTCAGAAGCGAGCTAATAAAAGAGGCAGCGTCACTCCAGGAAGCCTGCCTCGCACTGAGCAGCTGTTTTTAATTAAGCCCAGAACGGAAGAAATAAAAGGGACAAAAAAACTTCTAAGCTAACTAACACACTAAAATAAAATCCTAGGAGCTAAACTAACTTTAAAAGGGGACCCAGTTTGCTGCTCAAGGACTGGATCTCCCCAAAAAGTGTCCTGTAGGTCGACTGAGTTTTTTAAAACTCCCCTCTCAGGGGAGCAATAGGCGGAGCTACAAAAATATGTTAAACTCAGTCCTTGGGCAGCAAGGTGAAGTTAACCCGTGCTTGGACACTCCAAGCAGCGCCTAGGAGAATACATTCATCACTTAATGTTTTATCTTCTGACATTTGTACAAATTCATTTATAAATTGAAATTACAGAATTATAATTGACAACACAAATATGTGTAAATGTTTAATTGGCATTATAGATATTCTAGTAGAGTAAGATTTATTTTATAATCTTCTTTTACAGTATACTCTAAATTATGTTTTTAGTATTCTCCAGGGGTTCAGTTCCTTCAAGTCTAATCCAGCAGTCCTTATTCAGGCAAAAGCCACAGTTAAAGTTAACTGGCCTCAATTACTTTGATAAATACTAGTCTTCATTCAAGTTACTAAAAAGTTCTGGTAGAATCTATAGAAGCTCTTTTCTTAGGCAAATTCCTTCTTGTTTATAATTGGCAAATAAACAAATAGGTTCATTTCATACATCATTTTTTGCATTTATAGTCTGTATACAACCATTTGATACAGGTATTTGTTTAGTATATTACAGGGGTGAGTTTCAGCTTCTGCTACTGCTGGTTCACTCAGGGATGCGCTTCACGTGCACTTGCACAGTAGTAAAAAAATGCTTCTGGGCATGCGCAGAAGCAAAAAACAAGATGGCACCTATGGCACCGCCAATAGAACTGGTTCGGGGGCATGGCAGATAAAGTTATTACCTACTTGGCCGAACCGGTCCGAACCGGTAGGAACCCACCTCTGGTATATTAGTGTAGCATATGTTACATTATTAATCTAGAATAAATTTATGCTACCAATCTAAAATTTGGTGGATGGGTACAGTCTTTTTATAGGAATGTGTATGAAGTATCTTTACAGAAGTTCAATTAAACTATCTCCATAAAGCACACCATGAATTCTTAATATATAATAAAGAGAGCGAAAAAACAATAAGTCAAATAGGAAAACAAAGTGTAGTGCAACAAGTAGGAAGAGAAATAAAAGGCTCTTACTTGAAGTGTTCTTTTAAGAAATCAAAGCAAATATTATTACATATAGAAACATTAAAGCTCAGGTATTCTAATTATCATTATTATAAATATTGTGAATAGGTTGTTACTTAGAGATGTATTAACTCCAGAACCTGTTTTGACAATAAGTTTTATAATTTCATACCTTAACAAAGTTTTTTTTTCCTGTTTGACTACAGTTGTGAAGTTAGAGCAGGTCCAGAATTCATCACAAGATCCTACAGATTCTACCATAACAATACGTTTAAAGCTTATCAGTTTTACTATGGAAGCAATCGGTGTACAACCCCAATCTATACCTTGGTTATCCGTGGTAAAGTCCGCCTTCGTCAAGCATCCTGGATTATCCGAGGAGGGACCGAAGCGGATTATCAATTGCATAACATTCAGATCATCTGCCACAATGAGGCAGTAGCTGATAAACTAAATCAGTTGGTGAACCGCACATGTCCTGGATTTGTAGCAGGAGATAAACCTTGGGAGCAGAATGTGAGCTATGATTTATGGAGAGAAGAGAATGGCTATGAGTGCACAAAGGCACTGAATTTTGCTATGCATGAACTTCAGCTGATTCGAGTAGAGAAACAATACCTTCACCATAATTTAGATCACTTAGTAGAAGAACTGTTTCTTGGAGACATCCACACAGATCCTGCTCAAAGGATGTATTATCGCCCATCCAGTTACCAACCTCCACTCCAAAATGCCAAGGTATGTGAACATTTCACTTGTATTTCCAAGACATGTAAATGAAGTATGTTTTTAAAATTACTTGGCCCAAAGCTTAAGTCCAGATCCCATGCAGGCTTTGTCTGTTTCCACTTGTATTCCTTATCAGGGTTACTTATCTTGTCTGTCAGGTTCTAGACATTATCCTCCTGTTAAATCTTCCTATCTGACAATCAAACTGCTATATTCTCTTTGCTGGCTTATCACCTATGTTGCCACTTTTTCATGTCTTTTTAATTTGTACCTTGGATGCAGACTTGTAAGATCAAATCTGTTTCATGTTTTTAATATTTTACTTGGAAAGAATATTGCAATATATCATTTTTTCATTATATTTACAGAGGTGGAATCTGGAGGAATTAGTGAGGTACAAAATGATAATAGCAGTATCATGACATAGGCCCTGCATCTAATAGGTGCAGCGCAGTGTAACATACATGTACAGAAGTGATGGAGCTTGCTGACAGAATGCAACAATATTGTTTTTGTCCTTTTGACGAAAGATCCTGCAGACATTGCTGCTTGGCAGAATATTTTCCTTGGTGGCAAGGAAGCATTGATCCATACTCTCAAAAGTTTCTGCTCTTTAAAATGTCAGATAGTTGCAAGAGAATACGTTGCAAAATTTCCTGAAAAACTGAAATATATACTGTGTGGCCTGTTATCCAGCCACCCACCTGAAAGGAAATTTCTAATGTTATATTTTATTAAAAGTGAAATATCTACAGGAAAGAGAAAAGTAGAATACGATAATGGCAAACTTGTTATATATAGATTTTCATAATGATTGTGAAAAAGAAACAATTTATAATAGTTCACTGCTTTTCAATATTTGCCATTTCAAAGTGCATTTCATAAGATTTTTTCAAGGCCTAACTTTTTTCACCTTTTACGTACTTTATGTACTTTATGTACTTAATTTGTTTTATAATATTTTCCCCTTGCTCTTTATCCAAAATACATTTAGAATGCCCCCCCCTGTCTCCCCCCCAAAAGGAAGAAGCAAAGTGGGGGAAGCAAACTCAGACAAAGTTTGTTAAATTGTATCAAACATTAGTCTGCCACCACAGCTGATAGTATCTCTTCCCTCAAAATTATAAAAAATATGGAGATTATTAAATGGAAACTCCAGTGCCTTCCTTTTTAAAGGAATTAATGTTATAAAACAGCAGAAAATGGGCACTTTTCCTCAATGGACAGTATTTGTTTATATCAGGAGTGGGGAATGATGGCCCCTTTATGAATTGTGGATTTCAACTCAGAAATTCTGGGAGTTGAAGTCCACAAGTCATAAAGAGGCCATTGCTCCCACCTCTGCTTTATATAATCTTCAAACATATTTGGGTCTCGATCATTTCATTGGGGGGAAATGGCATCCATTTAGAATATGGCTCTTTTATGACTTTTATCACCTCTGATTTAGAACATCATAAGTCACAATGAAAATTAAAGGGGAAACTGTAACAGAATAGAATAACATAGATTCAGTATAAGCATATCATCATATGAATCAAAGAATACAATTTTTGCCTTACAAGTGTTGGTTGAAATGTATCATTCAAGACTGAGGAGAATATAAATATCAATGGAAGCAATTGCTGAAAATATTTAATAGCATTTTCTCTCTCCAGCAGTCAGTTCACATTTGACAAGTTGCTCTTTGCTATCAAGTTTTTCCTTTTTCTCTCATTAACACTGTAATTATTACAATGCCCACTGTTGTACAGTGGATTTTAGTAGGCAAGAACCAGACCGGCATTGCTGCAATAGTATTTATTGACTCAAAAATGGAACTGAGGAACCGCAGACAAATGCCTGTGATTTATAGTATAGGGGCCACAGGGCCTTAACCAATCATAGAACTAGAAAAAGCCCACCCTAATATAAATGTTCTAATTTTCCCTCCAAAACAGTTGAGGTCATCTAAAGGTTAGTTTCACTTTAGCACAGTTAACAGTTAGGGTCATCTAAAGGTTAGTTTCACTTTAGCACAG